ATAAATGATAACACACCACGATGAATCAGTGAGGTAATTGTTTAATGATTTTAACATTACGACATAGTGGCGGCGCTTGACGCCAATTTACGGCTTATCTCGCGGATATTACCAATTTTCATTCATAACCATTCTGAAGGATTTTACTAATTTACGTATCTATGTGAGCACAGTGTCATGTCCACGATAGTCATGAGCTGTACCATCATACAATATGCACTGGAACATTTACAGGGTGTGCTATATACAGTTGATAATCTAATTGACTCCAATATGCAAATATGATTTTATTTCGTTAACGGTTCGGCCCCTTGATCATGCGATTGTTTATTAGAACAACAAAGGCAAAACTAATTACGATGAATACGTTGAAAAACCACTTTGTGTGACTTTTGACTAACGCTATGAAGGGAACTGTTTAATCAGTTTTTGGACGCCAGTTAGGTTCTTAGCAAAAAGATAAAAATTACCAAAATTTGTGTCCAAAAATTACAAACAAGGATATAATAGCTTACATAATAAGATTAGTTAAATGTATTGGCGGTTTATCAATAGTACAAAAAATGAAACTTAATAGGTTTAGTGAACTTAAGTTACGATCAGTTAAGTCAACTTTTAACTTACCAAAGTTACCATTCTTGTTTTGTGTTGTTCTTTGCTTAAGTTAGTCAGAAAAATCATCCTTCACACTTAGACATTCTTGATGATCCTCTCAAATTTTCTATATTATCAAACACCACAATCGAACTTACTTGCTTTTGGACGAAATCATTTATTTATTTTATAAATAATCCTTCATTAGATAGATTTATGTTGTATGTGTTTCGCCTAACTTGACTAAAAGGTAGCGGCATTTCTTTAAATTTTTTTTTATTTTGAATGTATACTTACATAAATAGAATATTTGTGAGAGATAGATTAAGTTGGCGCAGAATGCCACCCTGGTAAAGTTCTCATGAGTTATAATTGACACCGGCAATTTCCAAACGAGTGCCGATTCTATTGAACAGGGATCGACTAATGCGACAAAAATATTCTAAAGCACGTCCACATCGTCGGCTTCCTCGAAGGACGAAGCTGATACTTTAGGAATAGGCCATAGGTACACACTGTACAAACACGCACATAACTATATAAATACCTTAGTTGGTCGTTTATTGTTATTTTCAGGTGAGAATGTTTGGAATGTAATAGGTAGAACTTAAATATTTTACAAACACTGTGTATCTATTAGTATATTGGTGAAATCAATCAATACATTGATATTGCTAATACAATAATTTAATTTAATCCAGTGTGAGATTGAAATCACCAATTAACTAATAACAATTTCAATAAGCTAGCAAACCATTACTACTGTAAAATTCTTTAGAAAAACCTAAATGAGTTTTGAGAAAACGTTTTGCATTTTTCAAATCTTTTAGTTATCAAATGTTCCTAATATTAATTTCCAGTTCGGTTTGAATTACTTTTCAAAATTGAATCAGGATCATTTCTTCTTGGCCTTTTTTAAGAGACTCATAGGTTGATGACTTCACTGAACAGTTTGAGAACATGGTTAGACTGTTCTACAAGTGTCTTTTGTGCTTTAATTTATAGTTTTGTATATTGTTAAGTGTACAATTTAAGAGGGGTAGGTGTAAGTATTTCTGTTTCGGGCCACCCACATTAAAAGTGTAGTAACATTACGCGTGCTTTACGGCTGATATTTCGACCTGATAAAGGGTAAAAAATATAAGATTTGCAGGGGTGCGAATTGTACACAATAGGGACAGTATCATTTTTCAGGAACAACAACCCTTTCCCTTCAGAAGGGTACACTTTATTAACTATTATTATATGTATGTAGTTACTTACTATACTAAAATTGGTTAGTGTAAACTGTACTGTCATTTCTTGGTAAATGGAAAATTGGACCGGATTAGTTTAAACAATCCTCACTATTATTGCTAATAGGCAAATAGGTTGATAGCAGGTGTTGCGTGTTTGCAGGTGTGCCATCACTAAATGGTTGAATTATTACGTGGTGATGATAAATGCACTCTTCTGTCGGTTCCGATTCGATGAAGAATGGCTTTGATTTTCCTTCATTTGGTTTTTTTACATTTGTGTCCACCGACGAAAATTCAATTGAACCGCCCTAGTCGAGAGGGTCCTCCAAGACGGTCATTTTGGTTAGGTTATTTATTAATTCGTTTGCGCCATAACAATTCACATTAAATCTGCTACTCATATAGATATATTCGTATGCAGAAAGATATGTTATCTAATTGTACATTAACATGTTGGATGTTTTAACTAGGCATACTAATGGTAAGGAAGTAAAAATGGGTGCGTTATCAGTACGGAGGAGCTGCTGAATCAGGTTCTTATTCTGAATTTAGTTGTCGGGGGTGGTAGTGTGTTTGGGCAGGTGTATTTGCACTCAGCGATCCGCGTGGCCGCTCGCCAGCTGCGACCGTATACCGTTTGCATTTGAGGCCCGAATTGCTTTATACTACGAATACTTATTATTGCAACCACTTTAGCGGTTGCATGCTTCATATCATCACAGCGGCCTTTTCAGTTAATAATCTGTTCATTTTTTTATACCTCCATATAATTATACAAGAGGTATTCATACATTATATACAAAGGCAGCCTATTTTTATTGTTCTTGTTCAAATCGTTTCAAGAATAATAAGAAATGGTAACAAATTAAATGGCCAGTGTTCAAATCCATTTTGGGCCAGTTTATAAATCAACTACGGTCAGTCTTTTATTACCTAGTTTGCTAGCTAGTTAGACCACTGGCATTTAAATGATGACCACCAGAAGATGTAGACCATTTGATACCTTATATATTTACTGATGATCAAAAAGGATTACTGACCAGTAAAGACTAAAAGCTAATTAAATAATCAATAACCTTCACCGATACGTATTCTGCGTAGGACTTGAGATTATAATATGATGTTTCAATACAACGAATTACATCCCCTTTTTAAGACGTTGACTGTTTGGGAGAGATCGCCATCGCAAAATTTGTATATTTAAAAAATTGCTGCCTAGCCGAACTGTTAACCTAACACTTTTGGATAATCTGGCACTGACTAGCTAACCATGGAAGGAAGTATCTCTTAATTAATTTGAATTTGCACACAGTTACAGCATTTTTGCAGTTCCTGTAGTTTCGTGTAAATTAATCGTGAATATATGTTTAGGCAAAACACATGTTATCGAGTTGCTTTAAGATTAATAATAAAATAAGAAAATTTGGTGGGGCAAAAAAGGAAAAAAATAACGTAGGAGCGGAAGTGAAGCCTCGTCTAGACGCGTGGCTGCCTCGTGGCTGGCAGCTGTCAGTTAGTTGCAAGACCCTTCATCCTCCCGCATAGGTCATGGGGCACAAGCTACCGCATGGTGACTTATGACCGTCTCGATCTGCACCTGGCTCTTCTCGTTTTCTTCATTTATAAGTAAGATACAGGCTGCCGTGTGCCTTGCAGACTTTATTGCGCCCCCATAGGCAAAATGTAAATTCCGGTACTTTAGCACCCACTAAAATGTTCTGTTTTCTACTTAATAAATATTTTACCCCGGAATAAAACCGAAGCAACAAGTGCGGGTGAAATGAGTTTGATGATCTGATGACGAACTTAACTTTTGTATAAATATCGATTGGGAAATATGTATGCAAATTTTTGTTTAAAAGTATTTGTCCGCAGGAAATGTAAAAAAGGATAGCGTAGTTGAATGACTTCATAATTAAGCATGTTTCGTCGTTTTACGAGTTACAGAGCGAATATCGCGGCAATTAAATAAGTCAATGGGTGACCTTCCTGAGGTTGATGAATTATTTCAACATGTCTATTCAAATCATGTCCAATAGCAATTAAAAAAATTGAAAAGTTTGTAATGATATTAAATATTTTATTGCTAAAACGCTAAGCAGATGAATCACTAGATTTGTTTGTCTAGCTATGAAATCGAAATTTTGCACGAAATGGTATCTGAATTTCACAATGTTTAGTTGATGCTTGTTATGGTATTCGTAATAGCCGAAATTTTTAATATACGTTTCGTCCATGTTGTGTTGTCTATGTATTTATATGTTGTGACGTCTTTTATGGTTCATCATCGATGCGTGGAAATTCCCAAGCTTTCGATTTTGGGATGTGATTGTCATGAGAAAGGTCCCTTTCTGTCAGGTTTCAGGTGGTAATTTACCTTCCTGTATTAGAAAATGATCAACCGTTGAAGTTTTTTTGATATATTTCTGGAAATATCTCGTTAGTATTATGATTCCTTTGATATTATAAAAAATGACAATCCTCTCGCAACCATAATTGAGATGGAGTGTTATTGTAAAGATAGTGGCGAGAAGATGCAATAAAAATATAAAATTTCAATTATCTTGAACATGATCTCGCCCTCCAGGGCACTTATGAGTGAATTTCTTGTTTGCGAGCTGTGACGTTGCCGTTGGTGGCATGCTCCTCTGAGGTAACATGAGACCTCCAGCTGCCGATGAATAAGGAACATCCGGTTCCTATTTACTCGCTAAACATATCCCAATTGTAGTTAGTTTTGTGCATATTCGAGAAATATAAAGTAAGACTAATGTGGCTCTATCCCGTTTTAAAAAATCGACAAATATGTGATAAACCGCTTATATCAGAACACGTTTCCTTCAGTTACGAATGACATTTCTCATCGATCTCGATATTTTCAAAATCCTACTTCCTGTCTCTGACTAGTATAGGTATTACCTTTTTTCTATTTTCCGTAAGTAGTATATTTTTAGAGTTCATTACATATGCATCAGCTAAACCCGCACGTACATATAAATATATATCATAGGTACGTATGCATCTACGTAACATGGAAGCGTATAAATACCTATATCATTTGAAAAACTTTGCAAAGCGAACTTCGTAAAAAATGTTTCGTTTACGGTCAGAAGAAAAAATAAATACCACGATTGAAGTCGTCAATATTAATGATGATAATTGTCGTAGGTTACTGACGAACACTCATGTGCGTGGTGTCTCAGAAGTGCATATGTCAAAAACAACAGGTACGCATCAGGATACATAATGGGGAGCGAATATGTGGAAGAAGTGGAAAAGGAAATTGTGCAGCCCTCAGGAAGAGAGCGTCGGAGGACACCCAGCATCGGCACCATCAGTGAATGAATGGTACATACATATGCCCAAATTACACACCATCTGCTCATAAATGCCTTCTGTAGACCAATATTCACCACATGTCCGTTCGCTTTGGAAATTGCTGGCCCAGTTATTTCAAAGTATCATACACTTTGTGCACATTACACGTATACACGCACACACACGCACATGTATATAGATGTAAGTATAGTACATATAATAGGAATAGTAGTATCTAATAAAATAAAGGTAACCCTTGTTCTCTTGACACAGGGGTGTGTTCCAACAAAATCCCAATATCCACCAATCACCCATTACAAATATTCTCTCATCCTATTATTATTATACTATTTCATATAAATTTGACACAACAATGTCAGTTATTTAACAATAATACATACATATACATAGAGTGTTATTGTTCAGCAATGCAGTATATGCAACTAAATTACTTTAAACAGCACCCTAAAACTGTCTGCACCGTTAAATTCTGTCCATATTTTTACATATTGTTCATCCTTTAGAAGTTTTAGAAAAATTGTTTAACATGTCGGAAATTTACGTGCGCTTTTTTACGTTTAGATATTTTAGGTGATTTCCATTAACTAAATCGCCTCTATCTTCATTATTTCACAACGCACTCAAAAACTGTCTGCACCATTAAATTCTGTTCACATTTCTACATATTGTTCATCCTTTAGAAGCTTCAGAGTAATTGTTTAACATGTCGGAAATTTACGTGCGCTTTTTACGTTTAAATATTTCAGGTGATTTTTATTAAGTAAAGACCTATATATTCATTATTTCACAACTCATTCAAAAACTGCCTACACCATTTCTGCACACATTTTGTTATTGTTGGAAATTTTACAAAACAAAAAGTTACTTGTATCTAAATGTGGAATTAGGTGAAAAGAATCACACTTTAAAAATGTCTGAGGTTATTAGGATAAATAGCTTGAGAACCTCCACGCTCCAGCTCTAGCCTGACACTATATTTTAGAACGCCCTGTATGTATGAGAACTGGAAATTCTAAAATTATTAAAAACAAAAATATCTATCTCTATTAATAATTGGTGAACTATTGAACTAAATAACGTTTAAGAACGAATGAAGACATGCACACATATAAAAAAAAATAGTGTTTTTGTACAAGTGTTAGTGTTTATCAGCTCAGCGGTACGACAGTCGTGACCCGGTGACGGATATCCTTAGTGAACGTGCTTAAGATTGCTGATGAGCAAGACTGACTGAGACATGGCGGGTATTAAATGCCTGATGAGTAATTTAACATTGTGAAGTACCTATCAATAATATACCTTTTTTGTGTGTAAAAACATAAAAAAGACATGTACGTATACATATACAAATGCATGTAGATGCATTTAAATGTCGCGAATCGCAAGCAGCAGTTATTCAGCAAAGAAAAAGTTATTACTCCAAATCGACTGCAACACGACAATTTTGAATTAGAAAAAGTAGCTATATTAGTGCTGTCTTGAAGTTGAATTTTAACTTTAAATGTTGTCAGTGAATCGCAAAAGTATATTTACATTTATTTACGTTTATTGTTGTATAGTCTGCTTAAAAACTTGTTTCTTGATTATCAGGCAATGTATTATTACAATAGCGTCTTTTTTTAAATTAAAACAACATTTCTATGTTATGTATTCACATCTGTTCTGGACTAATACGACACAAAACAAAGAAAATTGCATACAAATAGGCAGACATCTTCCGCCAAGTTTAATTTGTAACATACGTACAATGTAGATAATTCTAATAATTTAGATAGTCCTACTTGTTTAACTTTTAAGTTTTTTAATGCGGAAGGTAATGTACATGAGGTTATCTATACACAGCCTATAATTACCTGTGTATGCAGAAATTCATAAAAAAGAATGTTAGGAAATTAAACAGTTTTTGTACAATAAATACTCTGTTTTTTCTTTTCTAATTCCACCTACCCCTTCGAAAATTTTACTTAATTACCAAATTATACTTTAAATTAATTCCGTCATAACTTTTCGATTAGCCCTGATATTTTAGTTAAAGAATTATAGTACATCCCTCGTATTCTACATAGCTGAAGCGACATCTCACGACCGATAGTCAAACATTATTAAATCTAGTTTACAGGTTTCAACTGTATTACAGATTTACAAATAAATTGACAGACCGAAAAAAATGCAATTAAATTTGGCAAAAATAAAGCTAACGGGAGCGTAATTAGATCATTTATTGAATAATCTTTGATATTAGACGTATTTATTGATAAATTAAGCAAAAATTTTCAACAAGAGTTCGATTTTCGTTCATATAGATGAGTCCTTTTTTACCGGAAAAACCCTAAAAAACACTATAAATAATCATTTTTTGGCAAAAATAAAGCAAGCGGGAGCTCTTTATATCATTTATTGATTAATCTACATCATCAGTTATCATTTATCGATGAATTAATCAAAAATATTTGGCAGAAGTTCGATTTCGGTTCCCAAAACAATCGACAGGTAGCTATACATGGGTTATTTTTGGGAACTAAAATCGAACACTTGGTCAAATTATTCTCTTAATTCATTAATAAATGACAACTGATAACGGTAATTAATTAATAAAGGATAAGAACTAGCTGTGGCTAGTTTTATTTTTGCCAAAAAATGATTATTTATGGTGTTTTTACGTTTTTTTCGTTCAAGGTCGACCCACGTACAAGAATAAAAATCGAACGAATCGAGTTGAAAATTTTTGATTCAAGCAATTAAGCAAAAATTTTCAACTCGATTCGTTCGATTTTTATTCTTATACGTGGGTCGACCTTGAACGAAAAAAACGTAAAAACACCATAAATAATCATTTTTTGGCAAAAATAAAACTAGCCACAGCTAGTTCTTATCCTTTATTAATTAATTACCGTTATCAGTTGTCATTTATTAATGAATTAAGAGAATAATTTGACCAAGTGTTCGATTTTAGTTCCCAAAAATAACCCATGTATAGCTACCTGTCGATTGTTTTGGGAACCGAAATCGAACTTCTGCCAAATATTTTTGCTTAATTCATCGATAAATGATAACTGATGATGTAGATTAATCAATAAATGATATAAAGAGCTCCCGCTTGCTTTATTTTTGCCAAAAAATGATTATTTATAGTGTTTTTTAGGGTTTTTCCGGTAAAAAAGGACTCATCTATATGAACGAAAATCGAACTTTTGTTGAAAATTTTTGCTTAATTTATCAATAAATACGTCTAATATCAAAGATTATTCAATAAATGATCTAAATACGCTCTCGTTAGCTTTATTTTTGCCAAATAATGGGAACTTATTGCTCGAATTGCGTTTTTGTATGTACATGAATTAAAATTCAACTTTTGCTGAAATGTTTTGCTTAATTCTTCAGTAAATTACTTCTATATTAAAGATTATTCAATAAAAAAGCTAATAAAATTAAAATATATTTATTAGACCCATATATTTATTAATTACACTAATTACAACATATTTATTTCAAGTAATAGTTTAATACATAATATATACAAAGTATTTAATAATTACAAAACCAGGAAATTAATTAACAGTTTACAGAGTAAAAAGAAAATACCTGTAAGAGAAGGAAAACAAATCACATTTATATGCAATAAAAAATCTTATTACTTACGAACTGTTATATTACCATTTCAACACAAGATTAAGGAGAAAAAAGTCTCCCTAACCCTCTGTGGCCTCCGCATCTCCCCTTATAGCCACCCTATCCACCCAAATGAATTTTAATAAACAAATATTTAATCTAATTTTAACATTTATGCCAAAAGATCAATTTAGAAACATTTTAACTATCATTCTAAGTTACAATTACATAATATAACAGTTCATAAAGTAATAAACAAAATACCTGTAAAAGAAAGACAAGAAAACATGAAATTTCAAAGAAAATACAATAAAAAGCAAACAATACGATGTCTTCAGTCTTCTTCGGTTACCTGAAAGCGAATAGTGCAATTACAAGGACTAACGACAAATACTAATAGCTTTGGTAGAGAAGATCGGACAGATTTCGCCAAGGCAAGCTGGGCAGTCGCCTATTGCTCCTATTCCAGATAACCCACTGTACCCTGTCTGAAAGGAAGTAACGCTAGAGTAGACTCGCGAAAAGTGTATAAGACACTTTTAAGATCAACTAAATAGCTAAGCCCAAGGGAAGTCGTTCGGGGAGGCCCTCCCTAATTCCACAAGGGTGAGAAGAAACACACACGATAACGAAACGTTGAATCATGTAGAACTCGTAGGGTAAATGCAAAGCAAATTAGGAAGAATATGCAGTAAGCTAAGCGAAGAGGTAAGCAAGGTTAGACTATACTACAACTACTAAATGTGTTAGTTCTACTACTACACTACTACTACTACTACATACAAAAAAAATAAAAACATCTGCAATTAACAACTATTTCAAACAAAAAGAACAAAAATAATCATACAAAATAAAAAATTTAATTGAATAAAATGAACTTAACGAATTCTACTAGATAGAGCATGCAAGATAAAGAACTATTTTAACTATGGGGTCATCTCTGTCTTCTCCAACGTCGATCTGAAACATATACGGTGGTAACAGATTAATAAAGAGCAATTAAAATTAATTGTATCAAGTATTCTCACCTTAATAAACTGTAGACTCTACCATTCCCAAGTTTGCATGTGTGAAAAGCAAACGAAATCCAGAAGGAATACCATAACAAAACAAAATTTGTTTCAGTGGAATTCAAATAAATCTCCTTTTGCAGTCATTCATGTGTTGAAAATTAACAGCATAATGTTGTAAGGTGAAGACGAAAACAGCAAATCAAGAATGTAGTCCACCAAAAGTAACACCATTGTAGATATTGTTTCAGTTCAATCAACTTGAACTTCAATTCTCTCTCATTCATTAGACGATCTGCAGAAATGGACGAAAAAAATATTAGTTACACTATCAACTAAAGACGGGATGTTTAAATTAAGTAAAATTTGTAATATAATTAAAACAAACAAAAACGCAAATAAAACAGCTAATTTATTAAAGATTTCTTACTATTTCCAGAAACGACCCCTTTTCCATAACCACGCGAAACAAGCATTTTTTGGAGGCCTTTCTTCTCCACGCTTCCTTTTTGATTTACCCTCTCCACCTACATTTATTATGTTTTAATAGAAATCTATTGAAACAATTTAATATCATCAGTTATATGTTTACTAGATTTGTTATTATTTTATTTTTAATAATAATTACCATTGTTAACATCCTAGGTTCTAAGAATTTTTGTCTGACTACCTCAAACATCACATCTGTAAGTAGTTTGTGCATCGAATCCAAGGATGTCATCTCAAGTCTATATTGTAGAAAAAAAAAACAAGTCGTTAAAACCTAATCTATAGAATAACAAAGCAAACATTAAATTTTTTCAAACAGAAATTTAGAATTTTATAGGCAGAATAATTTAAGAAATATTTTACATATTTTGGCTATAAAACGAAAGCAAATCTTCGATTCAATATGAAAAATCTACAACCATCGCCTAAACCTGTTTTCAAAATTCAAAAATTCTAACAAAACCCTAATTATTCGACCTCAAATAAACTAAGAATCTATAAAAATTCACATTAGACAAGTGGTGGGCAAGATACTAAGATGGATTTCAAGTTGGAGCACGAAACCAACACGCCACCGTCACTTCAAAAAAAATCGAAGCAACGGTAACTGAAATACATCAATCAGTAAACTGAAGAGCATTCCACATTATTAAATAAAAATCTAATAAGGATTAGGGTTAAATACCTTCAGACATCGTTCCCATTTATGGACAGCAAAAATGGCAGCACACCGTCTTCTCGAAGCAATCTCGAAAATCGAAGTGAAGGTAAGATCATAGATAATGTAAACCGGAAGATTAAAATGAAAATTCTTTCTATACCTATGATACCATAGATGATAGATTTTAAGATGCGTTCAATTGTAACTAACTCGGTTTAATTGTTAAATTAATAAAAACTGATCCATCAAGTTAATATATTAATCAAGTTTTTTGACATTCGTGTAGACAACCCACTGTGCTGCAGAGAATTCACATCATCGGTGCAGCAAGCAATAAGAACAACGTTATTAAATTAGGGGTTCAAAGTGCACTCCGATAATTTAAAACATAAAATTTTTAAAATTAAACTATAAAATTCTTTTCACTGATGCCTTATAACAGCTTCTCTATATTTTGGGGCACTCATTTCGTTTAATGAGGGAGAAATTAATTTATCATAGGAATAAAACCGACGTTTTTAAATTGAGGGCTGAAAGTGCACCCTGGCAGTTGTCTAAGTTTGAAATTCTNTAATTATTTTATATATTTATCAACAAATAAAAACGAAGTTTTTAAATTAAGGTTTCAAAGTGTACCCCAGTAATTTCCAACTATAGGATTCTTCTTACTGATGCCTTATAAGGACTCTTTTATACATTGAGACTTTCAGCTTGTTTAATAAGGGAGACATTCATCAAGGAATAATCAGTCAATAATTATATCAAAAAAGAAAACATACAATTGTTTCATACAGAATCAACCGTATACAAAATATTAGAATATAATATAATTAAAGAATTGGTATACATATATTAACTTGACAAACTTAAGATTATTAAGAAAAAAATCTCGTTTAATTTTTGTTTTATCTTTTTTCAAATTATGGGAGTACTGTGCGTATGCAACACTACATACATCGCTTTACACGCGATTGCATACTATACGGGTGAATTTTGGGAATAAATAGTTTTCGCGCGTTTTAGGATTTAAAAATAACTACTTTGTATCAGCCAAAGGTTTGTAATTTATTTATAACAGAATGCCACAAAAATATTTTAAATAACCGACAAAGAATTTTCTTTTTTTACGATTGTGAAGGGTTCTTTTAAGAAAAACATGTATTACAATTGAAGTTATTATTTATTTATGCTCATTTTTTCTTTTGAACTTAAATGTGTCAAAATGTAATAATTTAAATAATCATTTTGTATAATTTTTATTTAATTATATTTTATACTTTAAAGGGTTAATTATGCGTAAGAAAAATTCGCAAAAACCAATAAAAAGTTTTAAGATAAAGCAATGGGATGTAATTAAATAACAGAAATTATGGCATTTGTTTTTTGTTTAATCCTAAATTAAAGCTTTTACTTACCTCCTTAATGTGTAGTGAACTGCTTATCTGCCCAAGAAGTTTGCAGTCGAAATATATCCCTTCGTAAAACTGCTTATTAGGCACTGTAAAAAATATTACGTTGTTAGTTCAACTGGAATAAATAATTATTGATTCAGTTGAAAAGACGAATAAAACGGAACTTTAAGCTTTTTTATTAAAATGCGGATTAATAATTAAATTGGTATGTATGTAGTACAGAACAAACTCAAAGTTAAATATAAAAACATTCCAAATTCATTACATATGTATGTAGGTATAAAATTTAATCTTAATATGCTGTACTTGCCATAGTTTTATTTAATTCTCACTTTTCGACAACAACACATAGAAGTTGTAAATATTAGTTCTAGTAAGTACTAAGAAGTAGAAAGGGTCTAACTCAAAAATTAAATTATTTCAATATAAAGCATTCGTTTTATTATTACAAATACAAAAACGTACACATATATTTACAATAATCTATGGTATGCATCGCCTTCACCATTTTTTAACAACAATAAGTTGGTAAAAAAAGCACCAACACCAACCAACTCGATTAGGGGGTAAGTACCAGACGGCGGGGTTGAAATTCTATGCACGAAGTGTGGCAATAAAAGAATCACGATTATAAAGCAATCTGTGAATTCTTCCAGTGCCAAGATTCGGACACAGAAAATAATTTAACATTAATTCTACAAACTATCAAAATTAATATGCCCACATATGTATAAAAAATACATGCACACATAAAATACATTACCCTTGAAATATAACTTTTTCTATTCCCTTGTATTGTGCCCATGTAAAATTATCTGTTTCTTCAATTAGTACCAAAACAGTTTTTAATTAATTGCCAAGTACAATTCAGAATTACCTCAGTTTTAATATTTTTTTTGGCGGAAAATAAAACTTTTCATGACATTCGAACGAATAATAATAGTAAACTGGAATGATGTATTCACCCACGATAAGTAATTTATTACGTCACAGCGTCACGCTATCACTGCGGCAGTCAATATGCTTTCCCAGCCGATCTGAGACCGACGCGTCGCGTCGGGCCGTGCTCGTCGTCGGCGTCGCTAATCATCTACTTTACCCAAGCAATCGTTAACCGCTGCATGCCATTATGTATCTTCATTTTCGAAAACGCTAATCGGGTATAAAATTAAAATTTGATTTTTTTCAACATTTTGATTAAAAACTTTAAATAATATTCAAACAAAAACAAATATTACATTAATACCGAGTGATGGCAACGCATAATTGAAATATAATTAACCTTTTGTTGTCTGAATGCGATTTTTGCGATACGATGATTAATTAAGTTTACTTCCGGCGATTCTACAAAAAAAAAAAATTAAACCTTCCGTTGTACTTACAATATGTATACCTTTTGACAAACTCAAGGAGTATTGTTTTGCCCCGAGGTAGATTTTTCTTACAAAAACACATAATCCAATTATTGAATTGTTGGTTTATCAAAATTAGTTTGGTACTTAATTAAACACAGGTTTAAGACGTGCTCCGAATTATAATAATTTTTAACAGGGAGAGTATAGTATCGGTGGTGATATTTAAAAGGCACTTTTTAAGAGTAACACTCTCGAAAACTGTACGAACTAAATAAGGTAGTAGAACTTTTGGTAGGTAGGTGTATAGGTAGGCATTCAAATGTTTTAACAATACTTCGATGCTTGGCAACGGCTGAGTTTGCGTATTTCCTTATGGCTTGCCAAGGCCTGGTACCACCGGAAACACCGTCACGCAAGGTTGATATTTTGCTACACGAACTGTTAAAAAAGTACGTTTTTCTATACCGAATGACAAATTGACATCATGAAAATTATTATCCGATTAGGACGGTAATTTTTTTGATAACGGGAAAGGGGTACTCATTACCACCACGTCCACGAACTAAATAGAAATAAAAAATTATGCTTTAACGTTCAAAAACAAAGAATAACTTAAAAGTAGATTCATAATTTAGAATCTCCAGTTCTCTACAATATTGATCGAAAGAATTATGATATGTTATCGATTCGATTCTACAAAAAGGCGACTATAACGATTGCAGGTGGGTATTAAACTCAACACGCTCAATACAACACTGATTAATGAGATTCGCCCTCGTCAAAAGGGTCGTTTGCAAGAGGGTCATTTGTGGCAACACCTGCTGAACGCGACTACAATCATTAAAAAGTCTCATTCCTTCTACCGAGTAGCTGCAGAAAAAGCATACATACTCCTATCAAAATTTTGTTTTTTTTTTTAACAAAATATTTTACGCTTTGTTAAAAAAAATTGAAAGAAGAAAGAAATAACTCATTATTTCTCTGACAAATGCCCCATAAAAAATGATGCATATGTATCTTATTTGCCTTACAGGAAGTAATGAATTTTGTACAAATGGTATGGCGAAGTGAGTGAATCCTCAATTCGTTGCCCCCACATTGCGCAATGCGTCAGCGAGAGGGGGTGGTGGGAGTATCAGTAGATTCCCTCCTAATGACGTAAAAACCCCCTTTAACCACTACATAACAAAATTCTGCTTCTCTATTTCAGTTCTACAATTTTAATACAAAACAGTACCCCCATGAACTAAAAAATTCAGGAGTATTTACTGATAATGGTCGTTCCTTAAAGAACATGTTGTTATCTCAATAAACACCTAATGATTTAATAATTTTCTGTTTTTGATGACTGCGAATTAACATAATAATTATCGAAATACCCTTTTTGTAAGGGCTAAAATATGATGAATATAGAAACCATTCCTGTATCAAAAGAAGTAATATTGTCCATTTCAATTTCCGTAATCTTTTCTGAAAATGACAACTTGGTGAGCTTTAGCTATTCTTATTTGTAGGTATGTGAGATTTTTCCTTGTTCCTTTTTTTGGTATACATTGTTGAAGGACGATGCACAAAGTTTAAGGGGGTTGCTGGTATAGCTTGTCACGGAAGAGTTACTTGGTTACCAATACAAACACATGAGCATTGATTTAAGGAAAAACTAGTTCACACTGGTGTAAAATAATCGATTTAACTTGTATACATATACACCTACTAAAAAGACTATTATTTTCCCATTGTCGGTTAGACACGTGAATTAGACGACACAATAAGTGACTTCAAAATCTAAATCCGATAGTAATACTTTTATGTATATTAAAATTGTCGCTGTGGTATACCCACTTATTTTCTGTCTATTTAAAGCTTTTCATGTTATTATTAATTGATTTTGGTCCTTTTTTTATAAAGAAGCAGTTAAGCAACTTACAATTAAAATCAGAAACATTCCTTTATTATTTATACACTCATATATGCTTAATTCCATGAGAAATATCTCAACATTGCAACAAACACGCTTCTTCTAAACTAAAATACCAAAACAACTAGCCAAATGGTACCTAAACTAATAAATGGTAATTAGAAGATTGATCAAAAATACAATAATTAAAAAGAATACTATTGTATCTCCCAAAAGACAAAACACCTTGTATATTAATTTACCAAGCTGAGTTAATTACAAAAAAAAAATAAGAAAAATCGATGCCACGCAACTGTAGTATTGAACCTGCGAATGTAAAGGGGAAGTTTACAGAACATTTTCCTGCTGCGCCATCTACAGTCTATTGGCTCAGTGAATGTGAGCGCCAAATTTTTGTAAACGAAAAACTTTATCCACTGAAGAATCTTTTAATATTTAAAAAACGTTATAAGTTGAAAAATATAACGTAATGATGACAATGTACCACTGGTTTGGCTTTAACAATCGATTAATTTTCATAAAACGGTGTAATTATTTCATAGTACCTGCTGATTATTATAACAAGAAAATAATAATTTAAAACTGCGCACGTATTAATCCCAATTATGTATAATCACAATCTTAATTCATTATTTTATAGTTAGAAAACAATATAAAATGCTCATACAACCCTTAGTTAGACGTCGGTAGACGTCGCTAGCTAACATTCCCAAATTTAGCTACCCCAAAGGGGTGTCACCCTTGCGCTCACGCCTGTTTTTATTATGAAAAGTCCATTTCGCAGTCACAATTAAACATCGAAATATTTTAAGATTCTAATGATCTGTAAGCTTTTAACAAAATTAAAATGAAAATCGTTTAGTTTCAACTATGATGCGGGTGTAGTGGTAAAAAGTTCACGATATGGAGAGTATAATTACACAATAAATCCGTAGGTAACCTATATATTATTTATCAGAAAGCTGTAAGTGCTAAAACATCCCTTAACAAACGTGTGTAACGATGTGCAGTTTGAGGCAATAGATAAGAAATGCAGGACCATCACAAAAGGCCAGAAAATGAAGGTTTGAAAGTATCGAATGCTAAACCTACGATTGCCTCGAAACCAAAATACATTCCACCTGTGAACATTGCATTCCAAAAATTCGGACAGCAGCAGCAGTCCCTCCAGAAGACGACCTATAAATCGGTCAGTCATTACCAAGACGACTCACACAATGAGAGGAAGACTTTAAAGGACGAATTTTCTGGAACCAGACCTTTGGCCTTCCACAAGGATCCTCCTCCTTCCACACAACAATCAGATGAGCAACGTGCCTTCCAACAACAGACGAGCAGTAGTCATCAATCCGTTATCGAACATTGTTCGACATGTAATTATTCGAAATGCCAACACTTCCAAACCACGAAAACCAACAACAGTTACAAACACTATGACGAACGAAACGATCAGTTTTCGAGCAGTAAAGAATCATCGAGTTCACCGAGTACAGTTTGCTGCAGTATTCTATCCAACGTTAGCAACGACTGCTGCGGTATCACCGGAATTAAAGAGAACAAAACGTGTAAATCAGTAGTAAAAGTAGAATCTATCGATTCGAACTCATCCGACTCGGGTGGTTTTAACGAGTTCCTACAAAGGGAAGCCCTATTAAAATTGAAACACGACCAGCAGCAAAAGACACAACTCGGCAAAAGAATCCCATCGCAACCAGACTGTACTATTAAAAACAACAACGAATTCAACCAGTTCAAACAGTTTGGACATCAGAGGAAATTTTCGCAACCCGAATATCCATTGAAAGAACTCAAGAAACCTGGTCCAGTTCCAACGGCACAAGCTCTCGAGCAATTCTTGTTGAAACCTGAACAGAGGCATTGTTTATCGAAAAAAAGCGACGAAGATATTTCTAAATCAAATTCGGCACGTTCGAGTAGTATTTATTTCGAAAAGAACGAAGATGTTGGTCAGATTTCGTCGCAAATTAAACGAACCGTTGGCCAAAAGTTGTACAAACAAAGCAGATACGAGCAGTCGACAAAGAAGCTGGAAGAATTGCTCCTGCAACGACTGGAAAAAGAGGAAATGGTCGCCAAAAGTCAGAATTGCATGACAACGGGGTACATCGCCGAAGACATAGACGAAAAGATGATGGTTCAGAAACAGATCCATCAAAAACTCCAAGCCGATTTGCAAAGGACGGTCAAGCAAATACAAGAAATAAAAAGTATCGAACTCAGATTGCCCCAGAACAAGAAATGGTCAGAGGTTTGTTTTCGTTGTATTTTTACATTAAATGTCGTCTTTGTCTGGAATGTCGTTTTCTTTTTCTTTGCTGAAATCCCTTGCTTCCAACATTTTAATTACGCAATAAATACTATTTATAAAGATGATTCTATGCCAAATTAAAATTCGTTGCATGTTATGTTTACAACACTACTGATAACACGTCGAAAAATAAAAACTTATGCGTAACCCTTATCATTATTGGAGTGGAGACACGAGCGATGACAAGTTCTTTTATCAATAGTATACGAGTAACCGTCAATGCACACACATGTAGGCATGTATCTCAAAACATTTACGGTTAACGCATTCATTATTAGTACATCTATTTCGAATAAAATTTAAACGAACAAATGGCCTACACTAATTCCCAACCAATAAAACAATCTGTTTTTAGTTCGCTCCAAGCATACCAGATAGTCGCTTTTTTAAACATTAACATATAAGAAATTTGAGTTAAGAAAGGCAAAAATATTCCTCAATGTTTGCATTATCTTTTCAGGGTGATAAAAGTCAGCATCCAGCAGGTCTAAATCAAAAACCTAAGGTAAGTGATTCAAATGAATGTTTTCTAATTTATTTCCTATTCCTACTGTTGTTAGATTAACTTGCTAAAAAGCATTTACTTGCTTATTAACCAAGCATTTCCCCTTTATAATAAACATGATGAAAACTAATCGTAAGTAAAGCAGTTGGGAAGTAGTTAGGTATCGACCTGCTTTAAAAGGACCCTCCACTTAACTCATTTTCCTACAGGGGTTCATAGACGTAACAATAATTAGTGCATATACAAGGAGACGGGATTAAAGCGATTTTACCCGGGTATGGAGCGAAATGGACAGGACAAAGAGGTTGATCACAAATGAATAATCAAAATAAAGTAATAACTATGCAAAGGTGATTGCCACCTGAGGGTTAGTATACAACCTCCATCTATCAATAAATTCAATGATTTACGAAAGTAATGCCGAAAAGTATCTATCTGATACCGCACTCAAAAACGGTTAGCACCTATTAATTGATTTTGGTCCTTTTTTTATAAAGAANAATTGTTTTATATGTTTAGCAAAAGTAATGCCGAAAAGTATCTATCTGATACCGCACTCAAGAACGGTTAGCACTATGAGATTCTACGTACATTCTTCTATAAATATCACTTCTCAAAGTTTAATAACTATCTCCCATCTCCCAGTAATTTCACGAGCGATTTTCTATGTTTAATTGGAGCCTACAAGGTGACCTTTAATAATATATCTCTTCTGCATAATAAATGGGACAGGTATGATATAAATATTGTTTTCTATTTTCTATTTTCACCTGTCAATTATTGACATGACATTGAATAGTAGATAAAGTTGTTTAAATATTTTTGAAACAATGAATTTGTTTGCAGTTTGATTCGAGTATAATTGCTAACTGTGCAGTATAGTTTAAACAAACTTTTTCATTAGCAAATTTAATTACTGTAAATTTTTTCCTTCTATGGGTACATTCACCTAGGTACATATTAGGCGTTTATTTACGTTAATAATGATATTTAAATCCAATTTTTTTAATTAATTCGTACAAAGCCCGAGGGTGGGGTATCAGAACGAGAACAAACAACAAAAGGCGCCATTTATTTTGTTGTCAGGCGCCTAGAGAATGCGATTGAAAAAACCGACCACTTGAACCACTTTTGGAATGTATAATTTTAATAACTCTTCAAAAAGTGTCTGGTTTATATGTATACTTTCCTTTATCGCGCCCGTAAATATAATACTCGGTAGTGTATTTGGGACAGAGAAAACCAGGAGAAACTGAAGTCAATAAGATGGCGGTACGCGCGGTGAGTCATTTGCAAGGTCTGATCGTTGAATTCTCTGTCTACTTCGACGCTATTCCTCTCTCAGTTGCTGTGTATGGACGCGTAGAGTGCGGTACTTTTATTAGTGTTTGGTGTTGATGAATGTTTACAAACAAATGAAATTCATGTTTTTAAAAATCTTATTCAAAACTAAATACATTTAACCTTCTCGATCGTTTACGGCAAATTATTTTCGCTATGACCGTCTCACTGTAATATGCGATTGGTTTGAATGAAAAAAAGGGTACGTTTACTCACATCGACAACCAAGTGGTTTTATAATAGTTTAGTGAACTGTGTATTGGTGTTTGCTGATGCTGTTCCTCAACTTCGTTATATTACAAATCAAGCTGGTCGTGCGACCGTAAATTTTTGGATAAATATACATTTTATGTAGCTTGGCTCTTCACAAATTTTCGTTTTCGAAAAAGGTATTTCAGATAAGTATATAAAAATAAACCCCAATTGCTACCAAACAAGTCCACTGAAATTTTTGATAAACCCAAAATACAGTAAGAATACGCTTATTTTGGGATATTTATAGTCGCGACTAGATACCTACACTTACATGCATAAATTTTATGATTAATAACCATATTCACACACACAAATATAGAACGTGCTTACAATTAAAAACACGTTTAAAAAAAACAAACAGCCTTTTCGTTACAATATTATACACATATTACCAAACCTAAACAAACAATGTAATTTATTTTTAATAGATATGTACGCACACGTTTTTCTAGCGCTGGTACATACAGGGTGTTCCACGCTTCGGTCATAAAAGATAACTGGATTCAACCGTTTAGTAGGTATACAGCGTGCTCTACGGTTCGAAATAGTACAATAATCTAAGGATAACAGGGATTATTGTAGTTAAAAAAAATATAAATACAGATTTGGCAAAAAAGTCATTGTCCTTGAATACGAAAAAGAACAAAGAATATTGTAATACAAATATTAAATTAACGCCTTTAAGAATGTATATGTATAATATTTATTTTTTGGAAAATCTAAATTTTGATTTTATGATCAGAATTCAACACCCTGTAGAAACCACATGCATAATACGCTATTCTTAGCCAATTGATAAAATTATCTTTAATAAACTAATCGTAAGTAATATTTGTATTACGCAACTTAATAATTCGCGTTACGTTATGTATGTAGGTGGTACTAATCTATATAATCTTATAATTTCTAGTTCTATTTTTAAATCAGAAATAATAACTGCAAAAAAATATATTAAATCCTATCGGTTAAATCGGATATCAGTTCGTTCAACTTGTAATGTCCCTCTACATTTTTTGTTTGTTTTTTTGGGACATTCAACTTAAAACTTTTTGACTCTGAGCAACATCGTACTTTGATGCTTTGCAAAAGAAGCTAAGTCATTCCAGTTGGCGAAATATCAACGTCGTTATTTGGCTTTCAGTAATAACCAATAAAAATATTTATTGGAATAGTACGAATGAATTGAGAATGTATATTAGGTACCTATGCACTAAAAGGTATTGAAGGCAAGAATGAAATTGCAAAACTTTAAGGGCTGCTTTAAATGGATTTGCGGAACATCCATTTCCGTGGCTATTCTAATTTCACCCTCTGACAGTCGTATGTATACATAAAGAGGGTAGCGTTTATAAAAATAAAACACGAAAATGTCATACTATAATAAACGCATAATCGGAAACGGTGAGGTAGGGAGGCAAACAACACTTTTGATTATATGAATGAATAGTACGATAAGAACGTCATTGATATATTATCAGACGTTAACCTACATGTAGTATTTAATAGTAGATTTATCATCTTATTGCTTCTTATCAAGCTTGTAGATGTAAAATGCACAAAACTAAATCTTATTTTAATTTGAAACGAAAATAGTACATCCCTAATTTTTTGTTAAGTTAAAAACAGTGTACGTTAATAGACTTACCGAATTTTTGTGGCAATTATATTGAAGTTGTAACACTAATTAATTAATCTTACTTTAAATTAAGACTTTTATTTTCCTAATTTACTGTAAAAAATAGCGTGGGGGGCGTGGTTTAATTTTGGCCATCTAGTGACTAATAGCCCAAGTGCTGATTAGTTTACTTGTACTACTATTTTGGATTAAAACCACGTGATGAAGAATATAAATTAATACTTGTTATTTTAATATCTTAGCATCAATAACAATATTTTGAAGATTATATTTGAGAGAAACAAAATGTAAAAAGACCAATTTAATTCCCTACAATGTCCTTTATCAGTACTATGACAACACAAATACCTGTTGTCTAACATAAGCTAGCTAGAGTATAACGATACTTGTTAAAGGGTTATAATGTATAAAACCGTTATTAACATTCTCAGAGTCGTAAGGCATAAAAAATACCAAGTAAAGAAATTAAGGAAAACGATGTCGAATAGCAAACAAGCTACCACATATGCATGCCACTCACCTCTTATTTTTACGGTGAAATTTGGGGACCATGGACCAAGACTATAGACACAAATTGCACTCCCGAACAATAAACATTTCCAGACGTAGGGGGTTATTTGATCATTACCCTTAAGAAAGAAAAAAACGCGAGAAACTACTTCAAAAACAATTTCACTATTACATTTTGACCATGAACGTATACAACCCTCAAAGCATAGGTGTATTTTTGTTATATAAGTAATATGCTTAAAATATTTGATTCAAATTTTAGAGAATAATATTCTACTTTTACGTATATTATTTATCACAAATTGTGTACTTGTTTGGTATTAAATAATTCATTAAGAAAATAATCAACAATTCTACAGCCATGGACGATCCAGAAATACAAGAGACAGTTGAACAAATTTTGGGCAAACGAGCAAAAGTGGTTGATTGTGAAAAAAAGTCTTCTATCAAAGAAGAAGAAGTACTTCTTATAAATGGCATTCCAGTTACTTTAGAAGGACGAGATGGACGCGCTATAAAACAAGCTTTAATAACAGGACAAGTTCCTCCCTGTGATTTGCTGAATACATTGCTTATTAAAACGGGTATTCTTAAGGCTCCTGTGAAACTTGACACATCGTTAAGTATTAAATCGACCACTGTTACGAAGGAAGAAGTCACTGTTTCTAGGGATGGCAAAATTGTCGACGAAAGGAGCAGAGAAACAAAAGAGCATAATTTTTATACTAGCGCCATCAGTGAAATTTATGAACCGGTTAGTACAACAAAGAACGATTAACTTTTCAGAGAAGTGTTTTATTATTATTCTTCAAAGTTTCTCTAAAGTGCGCGGTTAATCTTCAGGAATTCTACTGATGAAGAAAGTGGAGCTTCATCAGAAGAACTCCCAAAGATGCTAACCATTGAGATGGTCTAAAGCCAAATACAAACACTTCACTGCTAAACAGTGGCCATTGAAAACCTTAACCATGCAATATTTTTTTTTAATGAGCCAAGAGAGCGCACTTTTCACTCTCAGAACTATTCAAGTTCAATTTTAGAACACGAAATAGGCATGCTATTTTTAACAGACCATTAATACCATACCACTTTAACGTTTTAATGTGCCTAATTTGCCAGGTGGGAATCGTTCAATCATCGGACGTACTTAGTGGCTCTCATCATCATCAGTATTATAACTCACCAAATGGAAACAATAAAGTTCGTGATGAAACGAATAAAAACAGGAACAAGAAATACGGTCTTAAAAGCGAAGACGACAAATTAAAGGGATCGTTCTCTAGTACATCTAGTTATGATTCGGTCCCACCACCTGATTATATGTTAAATAAATGCTTAAGTAACGATTCGGGACATCTAACAAACTCAGCGGCAACAACTAATACCAAAATCGATTGCACGCAAAGTTCGATCGATTCATTTAGTTCTCTTGATGAGACCGATTATAAAAACGATTTATTGGATAAGTTTAGGAAGTGCAAACTTAACAATATAAATGGTTATTCTGGTACAGATTACACTTCGGTAAGTAATCAATTAAAAGCTAAAAGCAACCAAAAATACTCTTTAAAAGCCCCGCAATACTTAAAAAGCTGAGAGTGAAATAAATTTAACTTGTCATAGTTGCTTCAAGCTATGTACATATAAAATTTTGTTAATGTTACCATTACCTTCCCATATAAATATTTATAAGTGCCTAAACTACTTCCCACATTAGGTAGATGACATCATCTTCAGACCTTTTTTTTTGTTTGAGTTGAAAAATATTTTTATTCTTTTACGGTAATCCATAAATACGTTTTATTTTCCATTTTAATGTTTTTTTGCGAAGTTTTGGAGAACACAATTAACCCGCCTTCATTATTTTGTCCATTTTGTGGTGGTCTTTAAAATGATGGTTTTTATTTTATTTTTAGCACTCGCTCCACGGACCAGCCGTTCCAGATTTTGTTCCGAAAGACTTTTCAAAAAGAAGGGCAAGTATTAATTAATAAAAATACTTTCTTTAAGTAAGTTATTCTATTTTTTGTTACAGAGTTTACCGCAAACTCATCCCACAGGAAAAATTTATTCGAAATCGTTTAAAGGAGGAGGATCATCTGACCTAGCGTGCGACTCTAATTTGCAGAATGATAATGTAGGAATATTGTAATGTTTTCGCATACATTTGACAACATTTTTATTGTTTAGGCATTAGTCTATCGAGACGGAAATCTTTTATCAGGGTCTTTGGAAGCCCTTATTCAACATATGGTTCCTACTGACGTCTATTATCCAGACAGAGCCTATTTATTTGCCTTTCTTCTTTCCTCAAGACTATTTATTAAGCCTTTTGATCTTCTTACAAAGGTCAAGAATATGTATGAAGCCCAGCAAAATCTCAATTCAGCAATAAATACAAAAGATATTCAACCAGGACATTTGAAATTTGTGGAACATCTCGTTCAACTGCTCATAGAATGGACTGAAACGTTTCCTTACGATTTTAGGTAAGTTGATAAACCTAGAACTTAATGGTTTAATCGGATAATAATAAAATTGTTATTATTTTAGGGAAGAAAAAGTAATGCAACTTTTACGTTTAATAACACAGCAGTGTATCATTGCAAAACCATCTTTACATTCTCACGTATCATCGTTACTTCACAATCTTTTACAAAGACTAACGGCCCTGGAAAAGTTCGAAAAATCCTTAGAGGAAAAGTCAGGTTCCGCCGACGATAACATAGATATTTTGGAGCTTTGTCCGAAACCAGAAATATTAGCGCAACAGCTCACCCATGTAGAACTAGAACGATTATCTTTCATAGGTCCCGAAGAATTTGTTCAGGCATTCGCAAAAGAGAATCTTCATATTGAAAGTTCTTTAATAAATGATACTAAGAAAACTCATAATTTGGAACAGTACATTCAATGGTTCAACAGGCTTAGCTATTTCGTAGCTACACAAGTTTTGAAAGTAAGTAAACAAATCATTAATTAGCAAGCAGTAAACGAACGTCTTTTGTTATTTTCATGTTTTCTTTAAGCATGTGAAAAAGAAACAACGAGTAAGAGTAATAGAGTATTGGATAGAAACAGGTCGAGAATGTTTTAACATCGGCAATTTTAATAGTCTCATGGCTATTATTGCTGGCTTGAATATGTCTCCTGTTGCAAGACTAAAAAAAACTGTAAGTGCTTATGTTTTATCAAGTTCTTGAGCAAAGACGATATGAATTATTAATAAATATTTTTAGTGGCATAAGATACAATCTGGTAAATTTACGATATTGGAACACCAGATGGACCCGAGTAGTAATTTTAGCAGCTACAGAAGTACTTTAAAGGCAGCAATGTGGAGAAGCGCAGGGGCAACGGATCAGAGACAACGAATAGTTATTCCATTTTTCAGTCTACTTGTTAAAGATTTGTACTTTTTAAACCAAGGGTGTTCAAATAGGTAATTAATTTACTAAAATTACTTTTATGATCGAGATATTTGCACCTTATGAAGAACTTCGTTCAACTTTTCATCATTTTGAGTAAATTTTGTGTACCTTTTCATAATTTTGAAAACCTATAATTTCTTCAATTTACAGATAAACATTATTTCTTATTTATTTTTTGCACAAAAAAGGATTTTATAAGGTTTAATATTTGTTTAAGAATATATAAGCAGAGCCCTTTCATATGATACCACACTCAATTCCAATTTGTTTTTTGCTAGACTGCCCAATGGACATGTTAATTTCGAAAAATTTTGGCAACTTGCTAAGCAAGTGACCGAATTTATGGCTTGGAAACAGGTGGATTGTCCTTTTGAGAAGGATCCAAGGATAATAGCTGTTTTACAACACGCACCTGTTTTAAACGAAAACGCTTTATCTTTAGCCAGTTTCGATTGTGAGAACCCGGATAATATTCAGGAAAAGGAGATGTGTAAACACCTGAAATGCGAGGGATCATCAACGTAACTTTATTTTCACTGTACCTTTATTAACAGTATTTTAAATACTTTTTATGCAGCTGAAGGGGATATTAATTAATCCATTTTACTACCTAATTAACTTTTAAATGTATTTTTTTACACTTATCGTCGTATTAAGTTTCATTTTCCACTATTTAATAATCTGATTTTAGATAACATGTGATAAAAAAAAACCTATTTTTATAATTTGCTTTAAACATATTTTCGTTATACCTCTATTTTGTTAATTCTTTAAGCACATGCCGCAGGTTGTGAGTTCTATTAATTATTTAGATTCGAAAAGCACAAAGATAGACATAACGAGAAACATTTACATATTAATGTTGTGTGTATGTTTGTATGTAATGTGTTATTATATTATGTAATTGATATAAATACTGATCAGTATGTACACCTTTTAGGTGTTTTTTTATATACGCCTATTTAAGGTCACTTTTTCGACAGTATTAATTTTTCAGTAAATCATAAAATATGTACTATTATAATTATGCTGCAGGAGATTATTTTCGATGAGCTTTTTGCAGAGCTACTATTGTACGATAGTAATATTATTTAGTGTGAAAGAATGGTAATTTCTTTTTCATGAACACCCATTTTACTCATTAATTCGAAATATAAAGTTTATATTTATTGCTTATCATCTACTTAATTGTGTATTTGTGTTATTTTATTCGGTGAGTAGTTTCTAAGTTGAATATTAATTTTCGTATAAATGTGATGTATCTTTAAACTGTATAAAAATTCTCAAGTTTTGCGTTTAAAAACAAAATATTGTGTTTAGGTGCAATTAAATGTTTTGTGATTGTTATAAACGGCCTATTGCCCACACAAACTCACTGGTATACGATTTAAGTTGTTTATTACCATGGTAGCAGACAAAAATTTCATTAATTGTGCACAATCCATTTTAAGTTAATAAAGTTATTCTAGTCATTAGATTATAACAAGAGTGGTGGTTCTGTATAAGTGTGTATGTATGATGTATCATTTGCATGTGTAATTTTATTCGAATAATAGTACATTGTGTTCGAGAAAAAAAAAACTGTAAGCTTTTTTGTATAAACATAGTAAAAAATGCCTTACTGCTTAATTCTTTGTTTTTGAAAATTATTCATTCCTTTACTTCATTAATGCAAAATGTTATTAATGAGACTTAAATATTCTGTTGATGGACAAGGTAATTTTTATTTTCTTCAAACATTCGTACACTCTTTTTATATCAGTAACAAAAATAATTAATAAGGGGGTGTGCTAAAAGAAAATTTTTAAAATAACAAAGTACAAACGTTTACCATTAAAAAAAGAAACAGAAACTTTCGTGAGCACTGTTAAGGGGTCATATTATGAGTCAATTCTAGTATTATTGATCTAAGTAATGCGTTGAATTATTATCATCTAATAAATGTCCCACACAATTTACAAAAATGCGATTCTTGAATGAGGAAATGCAGTACTTAATAATTTTACTTTTTTTAACTATTTAGCCGAGATATTCTCAAAACAGAATAAAGAATTACATTTCTGTATAATTCTTTAACCAATAATAATTCCAACACCCAGTCTAAACTGATTTTTTGTATGATTCATTACACCACTAAGGGCTAATGTAAACGGCAGAGGGTTCAGTTTTTTCTCTAAAACTGCACCTACAGTCCAATTTGTATCCACATGTCCTGTTAAAAAAATTCTATTTAGCTCATAACACAACAGTTATTAATGACGTGGAAAGACCGGGAATTGGGTAACAAATAATTATAGCTATGGACGTTTGCTTTTTTTTAAATAAATAATTTGTTTACACTGACCTTTGAAGACGACGTCACTCTTTGGTAAATCTACTTGATATCCAATTGAGGCAACAGCTTCCTGCATTCGATGATTTGTTTCTAACTCAACTCCGAGTTGTAGCTGCTTACTTGCCTTTTGATAATAGCACAAATGAATGCTGGACACTCCTACAGACCCTGACACTTGAACACAATCCGTAGTGTATCTGTGAATGCATTAAAAATGTAAAGATACTGATTGCTTTGTTACATTTTTTTCTATGCATTAACTAAACTTACTTTCCAGCCAAACTAAGTAAAGCAATTTCACCACCAGGAGTCCCAGGACCTCTCTGATAGGCAATTTCACTTCCTAGAGCTACTGATGGAGTTATTGACTGTAAATATTGCAAAACTAATATTCCACTTCCATTTATTATATCGGGATTAGCCACAGTGCAAGTGGCAGTGTAGTCTCTTCCTTTGTAATGGACAGATAACTGACTTGCAGTAAATTTATTATTTTGTACCTTTTTTTAAACAGATAAAGACACTTGTAGCTATATTACATTCACAATTCATATGTATTAAATATCACTATTACTTTACCTGGGCACCAAACTTTGTTTGGACTTTAGGTCGTAACTGATGAATAATAGTGGCATTTAAATTTCCTGAGGGATCTATATCCCCTAACATAATAGGATATGCCTCTGTTGGAGAAATTTGTTTTGTCCCTACGTAAGTTGCCCCAAATCTATATCCACTTGGAGTGACTGAACTCATATTCAGAGTATGTGATATTTGAAAATGATTACTAAGTCCACGGGTAAGCATTACTCGTGCTCCTTCGAAACACGAAGGGAATACGTCTAAAATAACAGTAACATGTGAAATCAGGTTTTTAGGTTAGAATTGCTGATGATGTAAATATTTAAATGAAAACTTAAATTCGATAATGATGTTTTTAAATAACAATACTTTCTGTACACGTACTTTTACATTTTTGATGTAATTCTTCTAAAGGGCCTGGGTTTTCGGGACCAGTATCCGGTGTGTAACAAGGTACTGAGGGTGCACTTGTACTTGCACTTGCAGCATAGACGTTACCCATTGTTCCTAATTAACTATCCAGCGTTTCTGTAAAATATTCACCCAAGTTATGGTTCTCTTTTTCAACGTTTTAAAAACACATGGGGTAAATATAATCTTGAATAAATTCTATACTAGCAAAAGCTCACACAAACTTAGAATATATATAAAATGACATTTGGAAACAAATACAGTCGACTACTTTTACGAACTGCAACAATTGGAAACTTTTCAATTGTTTTTATAGATGGTGCGATTAATAAGTTGCTGAATTCAAAATCACAGAGAACATGAATTACAGCTAAATCCATAGAACTCAAATTTGATTAACAAATTATATTTTTCTGAATTTTATGATTACAAATTTGCTAAATACTTATTTCTCATCTTATATTTAATTATTCTCTACATTTCTTCTTTCTCTTCTTCCATATAGTGGGCTTTATTCAATAAATATTAATACGAATGTAAACTTTCTTATATAACACTTGTTATTAACATAAACATCAACAAATGACGTGACCAATTGCAAATTATATTCTTAACAACATTTTTATATTTTAAAGAGCAGCATTTAGTGGTTTACGTGATAAATAGGGATAAATGAATTGCCATCGAGAGGGAGGCCATACAATACATGAAGCTTTTGCAGTAATTAGTCCTAAAGAAATGGGACCAAAATTGTTTGAATCAAATGAATGTCCTACATGATCTCCTTCTACCCAACAATGTCCTTCTGGAACTCTTAGAACAGTTTTCTCATAACTCATTGTGGAAATAACATCACCTTAAAGGAGCATTAAGGCATAGTCTATTAATTAAGAATGAATTACAAACAATACCTTGTAAACCCACAACTCTCTTTACAATACTCTGCTTTAAATCCTTCGGTGAAACTATGCATACTATATCTCCTCTTCTGATATTGTTAAATCTAACTGACCAACGGTTTAGAAAAATGTAATCAAAATCACCTTTGTCAGGATTTAAAGTTGGCTGCATGGATATTCCATCAACTCTGGCAATGTATCCCACTACATCAAAAAATGTAATAGTAACAGGAACTGCAATACTTAATTTTTTAATAAAATAAAAAAGAAACATTTAACTGACTTCTATAGGTTAGAAATACACATAACATTACAAAATATCTGACATTAGCCTAGGAGCATAGATAAGATCATAGAAGTAAACATTTTGATTTTAAAGGTGCATTCATTAAAATTACGGCAAATGTTTATTGATTCACTTTGAAAACAAAAAATTAAACTTTACAATTATTAATCTTCTGAAAGTTTAGAATAGTGTTGAATATTAAAAAAAAAAAAACAATACAATAAAATGATATATATAATGTCTCAAAAATCCTTGCTAAAATCACCGTTAAACGATAAATTATTTATAATAAATTTAATGGGCATGCACAAGTATGCATAAATAAATTATTATTATATCTACGTTTATTCATCGTTCTGTTTCAAAAGCTCTTCAAGCTGATACTGTTCAGTTTCTTTTTCAATTTGTTCTTGCAGTAGTCTATCTAGAATATCCTGGAATCTTTGTCTGAGGGCAATATTCTCAATATTTTCTATTTCCAATTCTTGCTGTTGGCGTCTGGCTTTCAAGTCAGCCAATTCAGCTTGCAATTCTTCAAGTCTAGTCAAAATACTTTCTTTGCTCAGTGGCTGTGTAGAATATGAAACACTGGGTTGTTGTTGATAATAATCCATGCAGTCTTGAAGTAAAGGAGAATTTTGCATTTCCCTGAACATTTCACTTGAGAATTCGGTTAATAACTTGCTCTCAGCAGAATTATTCATAACAGAATTTGAGTCAGTAAGGTGACTATCTTCTAGAGAATTTTGACTGTTTTCATCCAATTCCAATACATTTAGAGTAGCATCTTCCTCTTCAGAATCACTCACAGCTCCACCAAAGATGTCATGTTCAGCCACAGGTTGGTCGATGGGTTCTACAGGTTCATTCTTTATTACTGTGCCTTTATTTACCTTATTTTCATCATCTTCATTGATCACTTCCCATCTAACACTAACTGCATCATTATCTATTCTTAACAGACGTTTTACTTCTTTCTCTATTTCAGGGGCTTCCACATACTTCTTCCTGAGTGTTTTTCTAAATCTACGTTTCCTTACATTTTTAGTTGGTGGTGTAATACCATGGGGCCACAAGTACTTTTTGTCCACCTTATTGGGGTCTTTTTTCTTAGATTTTTGAGGAGACTCTTCATCAGTTGTTGTCTGATCATCTTCCTCCTTGCAAATGAATATTTGACAAATATCTGCTGTTTTGTAAAAACTTTTTCCATCAATTGTCTTTAGGGACTCTACTACTGTGGGAAGATCCACAACTTTGCCAGGTAGCAGCCAGTGATCCACTCGCACTTCACCATGTCTTAAATCATTTTCAATTTTAATAGTAAAACGATCTTTTAAATTGCTGTTATTGTTTATAGCTTCTCGAAGTATTCTTGCAGGCTCTGGGGGTAGGCGTAAGATAAACTGCGATTCAAGTTCCGTTGGACCAGATCCCTCACTTCCCCTGTACATGATTATTTATGTTTAATGCTTATACACACTTTCAATAAAAGTATTCCAATAATAGCTTATTTATAAACTGAATAAATTAATAAAATATCCGAAAAAACTCCAAAAAAATTTTTTCATAACTTCGAATGTCATAACAACTTAACCTACACATTGACACATCGAGTGCATCTATGATTATCATTTATGATCATCTATACGATCATCTATGCTCGAGTACCATAGAAAGAAGTACGGTATTTATTTTTAGATAACCACACTTTTGCATTTTTGAGATATTTAACCTAGATTTTCATTTATTTTCCATAAATTACTACTTTCTTCTGTTTCGTTTTTCATCACGTCTAAATAATTTAGTATAATTTGATCTGAGGATGCAGGTATGTTAAAATGAACTGCTGGTTGCAAGCCTTCTTTGAATTATTAATAAGTTGCGTTTAGGACCCAAATGAAGATACAGAATGGAATGATGTCCTTAGATCAAAAGGGATCATACCTCCTAAAAAGGAGAAAGAAATAACTGAAGATGAAATAGTATCTATTGTTGAAGATACAATAAAACAAAAACAAGTTGGAGATGGTAAATATCTTTGTGATTGTAGGACCTTTTAAAGCTGTAGGGTATATTTTTCAAATGTTAAAGGTAAAAAGGACATATCTGAATTGGATTTAGATGAATTAGATGAGCTGGAAGACTCAGAAGATGAGGCAATACTATTGGAGTATCGAAACAAAAGGATAGCAGAAATAAAAGCATTGGCTGAGAAGTCAAAATTTGGCACTGTTCAAGAAATTTCTGCTCAGGATTATATTCAGGAAGTCAATAAAGCTGGAGTGGGCATTTGGGTTGTTCTTCATTTGTATAGACAAGGGTAATTAAAATTGTGCATCCTATTGACAAAGTTGATGATTTTTTTCTCTTCCCTTTAAGAATACCATTGTGTAGTCTGATTAACCAATATTTGCAAACACTGGCTGCCAAATATCCTACTGTAAAGTTTCTGAAGTCAGTTTCTACAACATGTATTCCAAATTATCCTGACAAAAATTTGCCAACAATTTTTATTTATTTTGAGGGAGATATGAAAACCCAACTTGTTGGTCCATTAGCAGTTAGAGGACCAAATGTGACACTTGATGGTAAAAACTATGTTTTATTTGATATTATGTTGTTATTTTTGTATATTTTATTTTAATACATTTATTATTTTTCTGTTTCAGAGTTTGAATACCTATTAGGACAGACCGGTGCAATTGAAACACCTATAAAGGAGGATCCTAGGCCTGTTATAAAGGATAAGTTATTCTCTGATTTGTCCAGTGCTAATAACGACTGGTGAAAGAAAATAAAGAACAATGAAGGCTCATAATTATGATTCACTTTTTCATTCACTGGAAGTTCAAAAACTGGGTTTTCGATTTGTTTTATTTTGTTTATTTATTTGTAAATAAGTAACATACAATTTACCTCCAGTTATTCATTTGTTAACAAATGTGTTTTTAAAGAAAAAATAAAAAGCGTGTGCAAATAACATTTCATATGCTGTTTGTCTCTTTTTTTCAACTATTTAATAAGGTTAATTGTTCGTAAAATAAATTTTGCACATTTCTCTATAAAAATATCTATCTATTGCATTTAATAGTGGATTGATAATATAAATTAATTAATAATGATTATTTTAATTAATGTTATGGAAACTGGCTGTATGGCAGACAATACATGTTATGGAAATTGCATATTGTAGTGATTATGGAATCTAGACAAAATTGAATTTGAATTCAACTGTTATTAAACGTCAAAAAGTTCGTTATGATACGTTTTCAAAATAGTTAGCTTTTGTAGTGTTAGAAAAAGTGCAGATTACATTTTATAGTGCTACATGGCTAGTGTTTCTATGTGTGAATATTAGATTAATTCAAAATGGTTCGTTACAGCGCATTAAAGGGGTTATACGAGTTTGAAAAAACGATAGGATGTGGTGGTTTTGCAAAAGTAAAATTAGCAACACATTTGGCCACTGGTGAAAAAGTGGCAATAAAAATAATGAGCAAGAGTGCCCTAGGAAAAGATTTACCTAGAGTAAAGTTAGAATTAAGAGCCCTTAAGTCATTATCACATCGTCATATATGCCAGTTGTACCAGGTTAGAATTTACATGATTTTGAATTATTTGTCGATTACTAAGCTTGTAGCTGTATTGTAGGTGATCGAGACTGAGACACATTTCTTTATTATTCTGGAATATTGCTCAGGTGGCGAATTGTTTGATCATATAGTAGAGAAGAACAGACTCAGTGAATCTGAGAGTCGAATTTTCTTCAGACAGATTGTTTCTGCAGTTGCTTATTTGCACAATTTGGGCTATGCACATCGAGATCTAAAACCTGTATGTTCTGTTTTTGAAATTTGCTTTTGTATGTAATAATATATAATATGTTTATTGTCAGGAAAATGTTCTTTTGGACCATGAACAGTGTTTGAAATTGATCGATTTTGGTCTATGTGCAAAACCTGATGGAGGGATGAAAAGTCTATTGTTTACCTCATGTGGTTCCCCAACATATGCAGCACCAGAGCTGGTCCTGGGGAAACAGTATCTTGGACCTGAAGTAGATGTCTGGGCAATGGGGGTGCTCCTTTATGCCCTTTTATGTGGTTATTTGCCCTTTGACGACCATAATATCGATAGTTTGTACAAAAAGATTTTGGTAGGCATCAAGGCTCAATAACAGTTACATTCATTTGTTTATATTAATAAATCTTAATGTTTAGAGCGGAAGATATGAAGAGCCGTCATTCATGACGGACGCGAGTAAAAGATTGATAAGGCAGATGCTCCAAACAGACCCTAAAAAGAGGATAACTGTTGCTGAATTGCTTACACATCCTTGGATCACAAATAATTCCAATCCTATAAGTCCTTATTCAGGACTGGTTAAAAAACAGGACGATGATTGTATTGCCCTAATGGCTCAGTGTCACAGAGTTATGCCGGACGAAATGTGGAAATATTTAAGAAAATGGAAGTATGATTACAACACGGCTACTTATTTACTCCTCCTCGGGAGGAAGAGACGGGGGCTGCCTTTAAAGTTGAACACTGCAGCTCTTAAAGTTCCCATCAATATTAAACATGTATGTCAAATTTTGATAGTTTTGGTTTTTTTTTTTAATAGATAATTGAATGCTTTACTTTAAATTGATTATATAACTATTTAAAATGTCTTAATAATTTTATTTTCACTGTTTTATTCCTATTGGTTTATTGGTTTTCGTTTCAGATTCCTCCTCCTCCACAAATGAACAGTGAGAGCAATAAGAAAAATATCTCAAAAGAAAATAAAGGAAAGGAGAAAGTGATACCCACAATACTTGAGGGTAAATTACATAAAGACGAGAAGCACAGTGATAAAAACAACGGTACGGTTTCAAATACTGATGAAATGGTATTGGTAAAAGTTGATAGTGGTATTTCATCCCCTGGTTTTATTGAACCCCAAAGAGCTATATGTATTCGTAAACCTCTGAAGCGCATTAGGAGTCCTAACTTGGAAGGGGAATGCTCTCCAGGTATGTGCACTGATTATTTATTACAACGATGCATTGTTTTTCGTCTAAAGTATTTATAGGAACTTTAAAAATATTCGTTGAATCTATACTGGAAAATATATTCTCATTTTTAGTCGAAATTTTGGCTTTCAGATGGACTTCAAATATCCAAAAATAATACTTTTAAAACGTTATGTTTTTATTAACAATTTCGTTTTCTGTTTCTTAAAGTATATTAGATATTTTTTGAAATTGTATGATACTTAAAACTGTATACTTTAAGTGCTATATTTAAAATTTGAATTTATCTTCAAAATTGCATATATGTTTGGTTGAAAATTTAGTTGTTTTGTTGTATTTACTAAATATAGCAAAAATGAGACGGTAAAGATTTATTTACAACCATTCTAAACGTTGTTATTATTTAAACATTGAAATTTATCAACAAAATTAATTTAAATTAGGAATTAATTCAAAATAGAAAGTAGAATTTAAACGCTAGATGGCGAAAGAGGTCCCATTTGGAATTAAATTAGTTTTATAGCACTGATCAATTGGTGGCGCTAGTTACCCGTTCAAACTTATTATTAATTTGATAGTTTAATTGTAAGGTGGTGCTAGGTACATATTTTTGTTAATTAATTACTTAGTTTAATAAAAATAAAAATAAAACGTATTATTTAAATGTTTCACAGTTATTTAAATGAGTGTTAGTATATGAATACGTCACAATCTTTAATAATTAGCAGATAGTCTAATACTATAGCTAAAAATTACGATAATAAAATTTTTAAATTTTATTATTTGTTATCAAAAAGGACCATGTAAGCATTCGTTTTATTTACGCATATTATATTTTAATATCGCGANTGTAATTTCACCTAATATTGTTAATTTTTATATTAATTTTTGTATAATACGGATTTTTATGCTCACATGATTGTTTAGTCGTACGGATTTTTATGCAGTTAATTATTAAAATGAAAGTAGTGAAATATGTTAATTACGTTACATACTACTTATAACGGTCTTTGTATTTTAACCAATTATAATTATAATGTAATTACGAATATTATTTACTGGGGTTGTGAGAGTCTAAAATGACTAAAATTTTAATGATTAGGTAACAATTGTTCGAATGTCCCCTTATTAGTTATTTTGGTATTTCGTGATTTGTTGGAAAAGTTAGGATCTTACAGGGTGGTATCTTCGGATTTTAAACTTGGAACGGGTCCATTTTCTAACTTGTTGTCCCTACGGATCGCCATTAAATAAAGAATAAATAATTCCGCTTCGCGTCCTTATTTGTATCCGGCGCTATCGGCGTCGCGACGTTAGGCGTCTCAACAGTATCACCTATCCTAAATACGTTGTACACATCGTTGTAGGACGCGGTGGGCTCTCAAGATCATGAAAAGAGGATGGTGAAGTTAAATCGGTGATATTTTAGTAGCTTGCGTCGCGTGAATTACGAGCCCTTGGGGACCTCTTTTGCCCGGGACGATATTTCCCGGCCCTGCATTTATATACTCGACTGTCGAGTGTCGAGCACTTTCTTATTAGTGTTTCGGCAGTACTTCGGTGTAAAGTTGGACTAATTTAAGAGTTTCGGAGCTATAAAGCACGCCGGAACAAACGGCCCGCGAAAAACTGGACAGCGCGTCGCGGCGCGGCGCCCCCTCGAAACTTGGGCACTTTCGACTCCTTTGCAATAGCAACTTGCAAGAAAACGACAACCAAGACCACTAATTTAAATACAAGAGCCGCAAGGAAACTTTGAACTATTCGATCCTAAATAAATAAGCGCATAGGTGAATAAGGCAAATAAGGTCCAAGATTGGGATTAAGACGTTGCCCTTTTTAGCGGAATGCATGTCTTTTTTAATCTAAGAAAACAGTAATTTCATTAAACGGTTTTACAAAATCAAAGCTTTTTTTAATTTGAAGTTACTAAGATTATCTTCTATTGTAAAGTTCTAATGTAGTATTATATTGTTTCAGTGCCTACAAAACGTGCAACTCCCTGCAAAGTTGTTGTTAACACCCCTGAAAGGTAAGATACTAGTTAATGGTTTAGATAAATATTTTTATTATTACATTAGCTGAACCTATTTAAAAGTGTACAACTACCGTTTGCGACAATTTGTATAAAAATCTATGTATGACAAATACAAGGGAAGACGATCCCTTTAAACTTAAATGAGGTGGATTTTGAGCGGATGAAAGAAAACTAGTGACTTTAGTGGATTCCTTTCCATTTTTCCTCAATTAGGTCTTTTATTGATCAGTAATTGTTTTGATTTGTAGATGTCTAAATTTCATGTGCTGTTACAGTTGTGTTCTGTAGCGCTTTCCATTCATGTAAATGGTACCTTTTGGCCCATTTGTTCGAATTAAAGCAGTAAAGTAGCTACACCTACACTTTCGTAAATACGTATCTACAATACAAACAAACACACACACATATATTTAAATAGAAACAAGCGTAGTGTAGACATGGGTGAAAATCCGCAATGGTACTGGATCAGTACATACATGCATACGTGTTACAGTCGTTATATAGGTGTGCAGTAGGTAAATGTACGACGGTGGAGGGTTGTAAACTGAATTAAGTGTGATCGTTTGACCCGCAAGCGGTTTCGAGTTAATGAACTCGTTGGGTTGTGTTTACATTTTACCGAAAGACTAACGGACGTCCGAGCGTGAGTTATTAACCAAGTCACCAACTTAGCGACCATTTCGATGCATGCGAACGAGCGCCTTTGGCGATTGCCAAAGTAGCAACTTCTGTTGCAACAGTCTGAATTGCAATAAGATTTCAATAAAAAATATTTGACCATTTTAAAATGTTCATTTCGTATTTGTGTACTTATGTAATGATAGAATGGCTTGTTTACTTTTAATATGTATGAATCTAAAAAATGGCCCCTCCGGTACCCAAGAACATTCGTAAATATTTGTTTAAACTTCAGCTTGACTTTTTATCCTATAATCAGTAATATCATTGTGCATGTAGATTAAATTATTCGATTTTTGAAATTATTTCTTCTTTCCAGTCGCAAAACTCCGTCTACAGCGACCGAAACCCCAGGTTCGGCCCGTCGTATGCTGGGCTCCATCGAAAGGTCCTTGCATAAAGTACGACATGCTTTGACACCCAAAAAGCCCTCTGATACCAGTCCAGTTGTTTTGGCTGCTAAGGTACGTTTATTAAAAGCTTTCTTCTCCTTTTTTTTTTTAAATACTTTTTTCGTTACAGGATTTGTGTAATGTATCGACCACACAGTGTAATGATCCCGAATTTGTGATAAGCGAGTTGCTGAAAGCCTTGCACGAGAAGGGAATTATGTGTGAACGCAAAGGGTGAGTCACATTTACTTAGGTACCATTTTTTTATTGCTAGTATAGTAGAAGTTTGTCATGCTTGGATTTTGCTTTAATGTGGAACTATGTACAACAAGGTGTAATTTCACCTAATATTGTCATTTAGTGCCTGAAAAATATTACTTTAGGTAGGGTTGGCTTTCATATGTGGTACAATTGCCTTTAAGTATATATATGTATATAATAGATTAGATTAGTTGAAAAATTAGTAGAACTGAGCTTTTTGCGATCCTCATTGTTTGCTGGTAATAAAAAAAGTGCGCTCTGAGGGTGTGTTGCCTGCGATTGATTAAAGATTCAATAGGTGTCGCCTTTTTCGGCTGTAATGGGCCGGTGGGCTTTGCTGAATATCAATTAACACCTCCAGACAAGGAAAAAGTTTTGCTTTGACTAAGTTATTACATCCAGACGCAAACTTTTTTGGATTCCTATAAAAGCGTCTACTTATTGGACATATGTATGTAAGGATGCGCTTGATTTAACATTTTTGTATAATACTCATGTGAGACGATCCTCGATTTTTAAGCTGGAATTTAACAATTGTGTTGTTTTTCACTTACCTATCTTACGCTAATTATTAAGAATAATAATAACAACCAGGGGCGAAGTTTTAAAAATTGAATAATTAAAAGAATGAAATGAAACAGTCCGGAAGATTATATCTTTGGGGTTCTATATAAAGAAAAAGGCGAGCCTTTATGAAAAGTTTTTGTTTTCTGTTTGCATGTCACGCAAAAATTGTAGTTGTGTAGTTAGTGAAAGTATCATACTATGTAGTGATCTATTTGTGCTTGACTGGATCAGCAGATCCTTTACCTTTATTCTACAGTATCCTTAGAAGAATTTTTTAACATAATAATACCCACCAAAAGTTTGGACAAAAATTGAGAAGAAATCCATTAAAATCCTACAGGTTAGATATCATGACTATATCTAATTTGTAATGAATTGGATTACTGTTGATTGAAATTGTCACTTTCGTGTTGGACTACTCAATAATAATTATACATAAAAAATTAAATAATGATGACCTATCCTGTCACATTCTACAGTTTCTTCTATGAAAAACAAAACGGGAGATCACCTGCATGACCAAAAACCTTATCAGAAACTGGTAGACACCTGCACCTCTTTTTACCCTTTTCACTTTATTCAGAATCAAGTTTTTCTTGTTTTGAATCGTATTGAATGGAGGGACAGCTTGCATGCCGCTGGATGAATCTGTTTGTTAGACTTAGAAAACAGATTTTATTAACAGGAAGAATGATTCGCATTTCAGGTTTCGTCTTCGCGGAAAAATGGAACCAAGTCTCGAAAACTACTTTGGTGGCTGTTCTTTCGAATTGGAGATTTGTTACGTTCCAACTTTGATACCATCGTTAAAATTTGGCAATGATTTTTGTACACCCACAAAATCGATACTTAAAAATGGTTTGTTTAAATATGATGAGAATCATCCTACTACCACTAACAATAATATTAATAACAATAATATTGGTAGTGGTGATGGTGGTAGTAAAATACCAAAAACGCCAAACGGTAATGTCAATATGTATAGTAACGCAGGTAACTTTAACGAACCCTTTGGTTCCCCCATGTCATCAAAGTCATACAGGATTGGCATAAGAAGGAAACGACTCAAAGGAGATTCTTGGTGTTATAAAAAGGTATGCGAAGAAATTTTAGCCCTCACTGCAGCCGATCTGAAGCAGTCTGTGCTAGAATCGTTGGTTTGAATTTCCTTCGTGGAATTAAAAGACGATTATTGATGATTAAAGCAAATACAAAAATGATTGAAAAATTATGTACCTGATTTTGGCATTCCAGAGATTAGACTTAGAAATCATTTTACGAGTGACTTAAAGTCTACGATTGCGCTTTATCTATAAAATCATTCATCAAGAAGAATTGCAATAAAATAAGGGATCGACGTTCAGAAAGCACAACATCCCCTCCCTGTAGTACACGTCACTCTCCCCTCTCAAAAAGGCTTTACCTACCATACATACGAATGAAATTTTAGATTTGTATTCCGGATTATTTTTTAAGTATTATACGCAGTAAATTATTATAATACTAATTTGGAGGTCACCTCCCTTCTTCCCTCCTCAAGAATATATTACGTGGCCTATGGGCGAACCCTAAGTCATACCGTATACAGTTATTTGGTTTTTATTTCTTCATCACATAAATTAATTTCCTAAACGTAATTAGTACAGTATATAATACGATCTCAGCGACTAATATTTGTTTTATTTTTATGGACGGACAGACTGTTATTTTGAACTTATTTCTTTACTTAATTAATTAAAAAATAAATACCTACACATTAATCGTTATGCAATTATTAGTAATATCTTTTGTCATTTATTAACAAGCAAATACTTTTTTCTATCTATACGTGTGTATATATGCAGGGTGTTTGGATATTTTCTATTTGTATGTATATACTTTTGACGATATAGTTTTTTTGTACTTAATAATTATTTTTGAATATATTGTGCTATAATTTTTTTTTCTTATTTTGTTTTTTAATCCAATAATTTACTCAAGTCTTAAAAATCTCTACGTAATTTATCGGCTATCGAAAGCCAGAGGTAAGACAGTTTTCGTATTTTCTACAATAATACTGGTGACATTAAAAGGTAAAATTCTATTATTACAAAAATTGTGTTAAAGTCTTCGTCAGGTACAAGTTATTTTGCGTGGCGAAAGATAAACATCTTAACGATGTTGATAAGAGTTGTTCTCCGTTGTTCAAACAACTTTTTTTGCTGTTCTATTTTAATGTGAACTTGAAAGGTCATAGTGAACGTTCCATCTCGTATTCATTCGGTAATTGTAATCGGTTTTCGTGTATTTGTATTTGTGTGTGGCCGCGACAGTGCATCTTTAGAAGAAGTATGAATAATAGTCGGTGTTTTTTAAAATGTGGAAAAGTGTTGGCGTGATATTATTTTATATTTTAGCGTTTTTACTTAATAAACATGACTGCCGGTGAATTAAAAATTACGCGAAATTGTTCAAGTGATACTTTGATTAGAGGATAATTCCCGAAATGGAACAAGTAAGTTTTATTCATGAATTGTTTTCGCTATTTAACCATAATTTGAGTTAGTGGGGACTTCAAATGTAATATAAGGGACTGGCGTATTAATGTTTTCTTATTTTGGCTGAAAAAGGCAACGAACACAGATGAAACTATTTTTATCTTTAGTAAATTGAAAATTATTACAAAAAATATAATTAGTATATTTTAAGTTATAATACCTAAGCCAAAATTTAACACTAATAAATGATTATTTTTTTCCTTTTACATTAACTTACTGTCACGTAAAATAAATAACACAAATAAAGTTCTTGCATGGCGTTTTGGGGATGTAAGGGTTACAATTTTCTTTTTATAAAAAAGGAAGCGAAGTCCTACACTTTATTCAATTTTTGATAAAAATATTTTTAATAATAAAAATAATTTCAGTGGTGTAATCTTGAAACATTTTAATAAAACACAAATAGGTATTTGTTGTCGACACTATGACAACTATTTCGACCAGACGGTCATTAACGAAGGGTAATTAAAAATATTTTGAATTTAATAGAGTATTTTTGTTAAAATAAAACTGGCATATTACACAGAAAAGTTCTCATTTTCGCTTTTCTACTGGAGAATTGATTCAGTTCAAGGAATTTCTTTATTAATATTGTTTGAATTGTTTAAGTAACTTTTTATATCTGATCATATGAATTTCAAACTTTAAACTAGCGCCTTTTATTAATTTAAAAGCAGAAATCTTAATGATACGCCTTGTAAGTTTTTACCGTACAGTGGCGACGCTTTGTACTAAACGTTGCTAATTTTGACGGGAGATGACGACTCCTCCACGTTTCTTAGCTTTATTTTATTAAATTCGAATTAAATTTAAAGGTAAATGCGCAAAAAGAACGTCCAACTTGTTTTAAAAAAGACACAAAGTATGTGTTAACAAATAAACTGGAAATTGAAACGAATTTTGTAAAATTATTCATTGAATATTTCTGTTTTATTTGAACAAGCAATTCGTTCTTTCCAAACAGCAGTTAGGTCTTTGTGTTTTTAAATAAATGTTGATAACTGTTTCATATTTATTAACAGTTTTTGCTGTTTATTGTTTATGCATAAAGTTGTTACTATTACAATAATGGATGTTGTAATTGAGTCATCTTTAAGTAATAGATTTCAAGCCAATTTCATTTTACCGCTACTTGATAATAACGAATATAATGCAATAATTGGATTCATGAATAATTGCATCTCATTCGCGAACTAGCTGCAAACAAAATTGGTTTTAATAACATAATGGCACGACTGAAAGCGATTGGGTGCAGAAAATTACATTCAACAATTTTTTTAGAAAATTTAAACGAAAGCAAACATGCTGGAGGAAATAATACAATTTAAAAGGATTATTACAACAGGGGGTGCATTTATACGACTACCTGCTTGTTTTTTTGCACTTACGAAATGTTTCTTATCAGTTTCATAATTATTGGTAGAAATATTAAATTTTTTAAATATAAAAATAAAATCACCCGGAGACGTACACAAAATTTGTACTTTAAGGACTGTCAGGATAGACAATAGGTTTATAGGTTTTTTTTACAAAATTGTGTCTATTTTTACGTAGAAAAATAGACAGGGTGCGTGCGCGATTGAATAATTCTTTATTCAACAACGGTGATTAATGGATATCGGTACTCAATTAATTACTCGAATACATTTTCCATAAAATTAATAAGAATGAGATAAAGGTGTTCTGCACCACGTGCCGCAGTTCTATACACTAGTGGCGACTAAAGACCAGAACAGGGAACAGTGTCTTTTTCTGGACAGGAGGTACCCTATGTCCTATTCTGACCCCTGACAATGTGTGTATAAAATTTCATGATAGGCTTTACCACGGCTTCGCTTGCATTGTTGTCCTAAATACGTATCAAAAGTCATAGACGACCACATAAAACGAAGTTTTCTATCCATTAGGAACAGTTTTTCTTTTTTGGTTAAAAGCTACCCTATTTCTTTTTCTGCACCCCTATGTGTGAAGTTTTTTCCCTACCTGTATAGGACTTCAATTTATAACTTTTCTATCTAGAAACTACAACTCTTTTGTTTCTAACGTTTTTTCTGTTTCGATTGTCACTGTCTTCTAAACGCTTCGACCTCACACGCAAGTCATTAATAAACGCATGTAAAAAAGAAGAAGAGAAACACTGCATTTGACGAGTAAACATCAGGTGTCGAGTGCCGACGCGGCAGGTGAATTCGATTGTGCATTTAATTTAATCAAATAATCCAATTCCACGAATTCTTCAACATATTATAGATATGTAATAATCGCCAAGCTTCTAGTCTTATGAGGAAATTTTTCTAAGGACTTTTATTATCATGCTTATCAATACTTTTAGTTAGTTTTCAACTTCTTCTTGTAATTTTAATTGTGTTTCCTCCGATAAAGTCAGAAAGGTAACCATTTCTGTACGTACGTTTAAATCGTCAGGTGTTTGAAACGAAAAAGCATTTAGGATTAACATAGAAATTGTTTTAATTGGCAAAAATATTCCGGTATAAGTACTATAATGTGTATTGACCCTTTCATGTCCGACACGCTCACAGGTGTTAGCTAGGGCCTAATTGTTTGCGTGAGTCGGTTGGCTGTCGGAACACTTTACATCAATTTTAATTTACAATTAGGTGAAATAATACGTTAGAACACGTGAATCGCATTATAAGTGTAAATAACATTGAATGGATTTATTCAATATTACCTATTAGTAGAAATTGGTAGTCAAATCTTCAAACAAAATTACTGGACTGACTCCCTTAAGTTGTATTAAAAGCATTTGGTCCTTAGTATCTAATAGGAGTTTGATTTTATTAATTCTTAACTCTTATTTATCATTCGGTTGTTAGTATTGATTGTTATTATTCTCTACTTGGATTCATGGTTGTGGATTATTTTTATTTTTCGTTCTTTTCTTTATTAAAATGTGCAACTAATTATTTGAAGGTAAGTGTTTTATTATTCAGTTCGGAAGCACATTGTATCAGCTGACTTGAATTATAATCCAGTTATTAAGGGGATAACAAGCCACTGTTGTAGTTAATATCTGGCTTCAGACGAAGTTCGATAAAGGGGTACATCAAGTTTTATGACGTTAATAATAATTGTATGGCACCTGTGGTGCAATTATAGAAGCATTTCTAACTGTTTTCTCGTCGACTTAGTTGCAAAATTAGTCTTTTCTTCTAAAGGACTAATATATAGCATTCTAAATATTGGTGCAAGAATTTTTCAAATTGTATGAGTAGTTTCGGAGATCGCCTCCTATATCTAAACTTACAATTTTACAAAATATTCTGGAAGATCATTAACTGCCTTGGTTTCTTAAATGGAAAATGTCACTTTTATTTTAATTGTAACCGCCCAATGTTTCTTTGAAAAATTCCTTTCTGACATGATAATGACATTAAAAACAGTTCGTCAGCCGGTAGATTCGTTAACTTTGTAACGTCTTAGAACAGCTGATCGAGTAATAAGTGTTTAAAAGGGCTGAAGTCAACAACCACTTTCGATTTTCGTTTTCCCGCCATCGAAAGACACCCCATCCGGATACCACATGTTCTTCCTTGAAAGATTATCAGCGAGGAAGTTAGGAAAGGCGTTAGACGAGACCGTTGGGGTTCAATTAAACAAAAAACCTTTTGTAACGTCTTTAAATGGTTTACAAAAATGTCAAAAGGGAGAGAAATTGGTACAATTAAAATGTCGACTAAGACCAATTAAGTATTATCGTTAGCGTGCTTTGCGTCAGGAGTTTTTTGAGGCAGTATCTTATCACAAGTATATTTTTAATTTTAGAATCTGTCCCTTGAGATTCGACTTGGGGAGATTCTAACGCTGATGCTTTTGACTGATTTGTTGATATTTATGTAGCAATTAGAATTCTAAAAGGATTTTCATCCCATCTCATTACTGTTATAACGTTTTGTTTCGATTTGGAAACATTTGAAGATAAATCTTTTGATTAATATTATTTTATCGTACGGTAGGTTAATGTAGCAATTTAACTTGATCGGTGAACCTTTCGATCTTCATTCCAAGAAAAGCGATACAGATCGATCTAAAGTAAGCATTGTATGGTATCGACCGTGTATTATATTCCGCGACGATTGTAAAACACAAAGGTACAATAAAGTCCGAGTTGCATATATCGCGGGCCCTTTAAAACAGGCGTCCGTAACATTGTAAATTGTCGTTAATTGCCATGTGCGAATCGTATCTTGGTCATGTGTGTGTGAGTGTGTGTGTGGCGAGAATTCACACGCGTGCACGTACATATATTTATGCATGTATTTGTGTGTCCATATTCAGCGCCTTGGTTGATCTTCATAGGTACCTTTACTAACCATTAACGACCTGAATCAGTCGAGACGTGTTTGTGGCTACCGGAAAATTCGTAACCCATATGGCATTTATGAAATCAACGAATTAAGTGGCAAGACATTGACATAATTGTGAGCGAAATCGGAATTTTTCATTTCGAAGCAGTGAACATCAGGCCGCTTCAAAAGTTTTGTGAATTATCTTGCTGCCCGAAGGACTAGTTCGAGACATGCTGGAAGCAGAAACAGGAGAGAGTGCTAGAGGCAGGTTTAGATTAGATTACTTTTTGCAAATAGGAAGGATAGTTATTGATGTAGGTTTCTTGAGTTTCCTAGAAATATGAATATTTACCAATACAGGAAGAAGTTGAGATACGTGTCCAAACAATTTTAATCATCATTATCGTCATCAGAAGGTCGTCAATGCTAAGATTGGTTAGACACGCACCTCCACTCTTTCCTATCCTGAGCTAATCTTCGCATTTCCCATCCTTAATTATTTGCGAACAGTAATCTAATCTAGGTCTACCTCTACGCCTCCTAACTCCCGTTTCTGCCTATAATACGTCTCTGATTAAAATTCATGCCTGAGAAGGTGTCCTACCAACCTATCTCGTCTATTTCCTATTGACTTCCATTGAGTCCTC